GAATGAGTGTCTTCTCGCCTATTTATCCACGATACCCAGCACCGGTTCAACTTTCTTAGGACGTGAGTCAGAAGCACTCGGGGTGGTGGTCAGACGATCTGCCGTCGTGGAAACTGTGGTCAACTGCATATTCTGCAGTTCTGCTGGATCACGCATGACGTCAGATGAGCGCGACATAATCGGGTTGCAAAGGAACTCGCAAAACGTCTCCGTTGGCTGGGATAAACCATCTTCGAGGGGTTGAGAGCACCTACCTCCAAATTTTTTTCATCAAGCCTGACCTAATCGCTGTTCGGAGCATCGAGCAACTGTGGTAGACGTAAGAATAGTCTCGGATGGGCGCGGAACGAATGTGTGGAATGAGAAGAAGCACAAGTATGGCGTTGAAGATTGTTCCCGCACCATCATCTCAGCCGTACGTGCAATCGACTGTGATGTCGACTTTTTGGTTGAAGATTGTTCCCTCACGATCATCTCAGCCGTACGTGCAATCGATTGTGGTGTCGACTTTTTGGTCCACCAATCCATTATCACTTCTTATCGAGGGATCTGCTGTGCTTAGTCCGACAAGGCTGCTATTGGACTGGGACTTCCTAAGGTCACAGTCAGTGATTTGCGATCGCTTGCCATTGTGGGCTCTCTACGTACTTACGACACTTATGCTTAGTACATAGCGTTGCGTTTTCATTGTTGCCATTGGCTTTCACACCTGACCCATTATGACGAACAATTTGTGCCTAATGTGCGAGTCTTGGTCGTGCTAGCGCTTACCACGCCTTGAGGAGCATTCAGCGTTTGTCTTTTCTTCGTTTGTTGGTCTTTACACGCGTGTTTCCATAGCAAACATTCTCACCTACGTTGGGATTCATCTTGTCCGACTGGAACTGAAACGACTTCGAATGGGACGCTTCCCTTGTTTTATCTAATATTCCCCTGTAACCCTTCCACATCTATCGCGCGCGTTTACTTCTTATGTTTATGACCATACTCTTCAGGAATAAACTACAAATTGACTGAACAGGGTAACGTCTGGGATCACATAGACCTTTAATTTTTTATTAATTCGATATCAGTTGACGTCGAGTGAAGGCAGAATTCTGCCTTAAATTCGACCTGACCTCAACTTATCAATAGTGTCCGCCCCGTATGTGTGAAAATGCCTTGGAGGGTTGTGTTTTGTAGCGAGGCACAAGGCAAGATCTCTCCAGTGGGTAACTCTTCACGGGAAAACCATACCCTACAAGACAAGGGGGGGAAACTCCGCTTTGAAAAAAATATAGATGTAGGAAATCCCACAGAAAGATACATACTTCCCAAGAGGAAGGGGTGCGGTTGTACAATGAACATCTTTCAATCCCACTGCATTCTGATACAATGGGAATCATGACGCTTCTTGTAGCTATTTATTTAGAAAGTTTTGGATAACGGTCTTGCTATTGATGATTGAAATGGTCTTCCAATATCTATTCAGATGATACGGCAGTTGGTTTCGAGTGTCAATCACTTCCGGTCACGCAGATTTCTGGTATCGATCCAGCTAGTTATTCCACTCAAACTACTGCCACATGCTTCGACCGGAAACGTCATTTACCCATCTGGAGCACGACATGCCATTCCCCAAGGTTGGGTGTCCTTGTGTGTGCTTGAGGAGTTAGTTAATCCTGTGTCCTCCCATAATTTGCTCCAGTCCAAGAAAAACTAGCCTACATATTAGAGTAGAACATGGCCGCATAACGCGAAAGGGAGATGGGATACGTAACAGATCCGGTGATTTAGTGACAATGCCGTAACAGGGAACATTCTCCCTAATCCGGATCATCATGGCACGATGATTTTGGTGAAAAAGCACCAAGGGAAGTAAGTAATGGACCCGAAATTCCCATTACTGATGGGTTCAGATAATTGGGAGGCTTAAGTCTGACACCTCCCTCCGTTCTATTGAAGAAGCGGTAATTGAGCCGAATTTGTTCAGCTGGCAAGAGTGAGGATTCGAACCATACGAGTCCAGCAACTGGACATAATCGATGGCAAATTCAAAGTGGTTACCTAACCTAGCACATGCGATGAAATCTATCAGGGGACCTAATCACTACTTGGCAGCAATCAAGAGTTATCCCGAACTTTTTTCGCTCTTCCTTTGGGGATCCGGTAAGCATCAATCCGCTTGCAGTTATAAACTAATCAAGCGGGATATTGGTTGGAGAACGACCTAAAATTCTGCACTAAAACCTCACACGTCTTCAGAATAGCTTCTGGTGTTGGGTAACACGACGACACTCGTGAGTACTTCATATTTCTTGAACGGACTTTCTCGATTCATTGAGGTCTTTTAGCGGCTCTACAAAGCGCAGCTACCCACGGAACTCTATTCTTAACGCTGATTGACCGTAGGTAACCCCCACTACCCAAGGTATTTAAGCCACCGGCTAATCTAAATACACTTATGAGAAAACGCTTCTTTATATTATCCAGAATTCTCGATAAAAAACCTCAGATGACGTTTTTGCAAAAACCGTCCTCGGTAAGATCACTGCATGTTCAGATGTGTACAGCACTTCCGGAATGGGGAGAATGGCATCCAGTCTGAGGTAACTCCATTTCCCATCCATGCCTTCAGATGCTGAGATTTAGAAATCGATACAGGGGATTCTGCCACCCTATTCATACCATGGAGTTATTTTTTCCAAAATTACAAACTGACTGTAACCCTTTTTTAAGTCTAGTTGTTTCAGCGGTAAGAGGGTTCGAACTTGCGCGCCATGATCAGAGAAGCAGGCTTTCTCAGCGTAGTTTTGGATGTTTGGACAAGATAGGTTATGAATCGAAGTGAGGTTGTTCACTCAGAATTAAAAAATGGTGAATTCGGTGCCATACTGTGAGGTATAACAACGAGGAACCAGTTGGTGATGAAAACAAGTTGGGATAATCATCCACATATTATTGGCCATCCTTTCGATGTAAAAATGTGTGGAATGAAGGCTGGTTTCTATAAATACGCGGGCGTGAACGAACCATATGAAAATTTCGTCAATTACAAAAGCAGTGCAATCCGGCGCCAGACTGTTCACACAATCACCAACCCCACAGCTTCCGTAAAAATGAGATAGTACAATATCAACGTCCTGGTCTGGTGGAACCACTCGAATCTCCCCTCCCAAAAGACCACCATCAATGAGATATCTGGCTGGATTCAGATGAGTCTCCCGTTAAGACCGAATCTGTTTGCAAATCAAAAGATTTGACAAATTCTCTCCAATATGGACTCGAGTATAACACAAGTTCAGTAGAAACTGGGGGGTTGTGTCTACCTGAGTAGCCCCAGAAAGGGCTAAACTGATCGTGAGCTGTCAAAGAGTTTTCAGCAACCTTATGACTAGTATCGCGATTTCTCGAATATCCTACCGGATGAAACATGAGGCGGCTCTTGCAGCATATTCACCTGATGCGGACCATCGTAAAACGAGAGATTCTGCTGTATTCAGTTGAGTCGCCCGTCAAACCGTGTGCAAATGGGAGTATGTCGAAGCCAACATCCTTGGTTTTGATTGTAAACAGTTATTCGAATCACTTTTTCGATATTGATCTGATCTGAGTCTAAATTACGTTTTAAGCGACATGAGTAGTCCGTTAACTTTCAAATAATCCCGGACTACACTGTGATCAATTAAAAATGGTGGGGTACTTTGAATGTCCGAACAGAAGTGACTCTTCAGTTGATAGATGTGCAGTCAAGACATTACTTCTTCGAAGATAAAGCCTCTATAGCAATTTTACACAATGATCGTCCGACAAGAGCCCCAGCATAATGCAGGCTGATTAATCGCTCAGCATAGACGTGGAGCGTCCCAATATTTCATGGGACTTGGACCACGAACAAGCTACACAACCTTTGTTCCAAAGCGGACTCGAAACTCACTCACCAAGTGGATTATTCGAGAGTGTTGTCACATCTTTCCAGTTTGTAACCCAGAATTCGTGAGGTTAAAATGAAAAACATACGAGGAACTATCAGCCAGAACGCCATGTGGGCTCAGCTGGACCGACTGTGTGTGAAACGATTTGTGCAATTAACGGAGTAGACCAGTCCGTACTTTAAGCCCACCTCTTGACAGTGTTGGTGCGGTCAGGATCGGGTTTATTCTGACCTTTTCTGTCTGCCACAACAACAAACCAACCAACGCGTTCGTAGTGGAGTTGCGCCGTTTCTGCCCTAAAGACAGATGAAAACACCAACGTAGTTCGGAATTGCAAGTGGTAGCTATTCAATAGCGAATATGCACAAGAGAACACCGTAGCAACCAAACCAGTGAGCTAATCTGGATGAAATGTAGGGAGTGGGGACCAAACATCATCAAAGTCCTGGTCGGACAGGTCTCCACTTCATTTGGAAGAGTAAGCGCCACAAGGGATAAATCCCAAATGTGGAGTGTCCTGGTTCTCAAACAGCAGTCATGTTTTGCAAGTCGAGAATGCGGTCACAGGTTGTCTATCTTCTGAAGGCTGGTTTCCAAATTTAGGGGGCTCTCGGTCTGGTTTATCTTACCTGGGGGCGAGATGGTTCAGTGGTTGAAGCGCGAATTCACTGACCGGAAGGTCCTTGGGTCGAATCGGACTTCTGCATCTCGACCTCCGCCATCTAGACTTGGGCAACCCAACAGTATCCCAGCCCTCGTGGTTCCTCCTGGTGGCATGGCAGCTAGAGTGTTACAGCTGAGCGATTTCACCTAATGGACAAGTGTAAGGCATTGTTAAAGACAGGATTCGGTCACCTAACTCGTAAGTAACACTGAGTCATGGAATACCATCTGCCTTTAGCTTCCTAGTATCATCTGAGTGTGGTGTTACACAGAAAGTAGTGAAACCAAGCTGTGGTAAGCTTGAAATGTGCAAGTCACTCTTCGTTTTTATTGAAGCCCATGAAGTGGAGGTAGACAGAGGTTGACCTTTTAAAATCCACAGGCTCCGTCAGGTCAATCTGACCAGCTAAATTCACTATCAAAAGCCGAAAGACAAAGTTTTATTCTGAAAGGCACCTTGACAATATCATAATCACCAAGAGCAACGTAAGTAGCAGCAACGCACTGTTACAAGAACTTCCTAACGACAATTCTTTTTTAAAAAAACATAGAAGTTACCTCCTAACAAAGAACAAAATAGAAGGCGAAAAATACAATTCTTGTGGTAGATGAGAGAATGAGAACCTTAGCTAATAGACAGCAACAAAAATGTTGCAAGGCACAAGAACACACGGTTTGGAAGGCGTGGAATGGAACAGCTATCATCATTGAAAAGACAGAGCGACGGTTGAACAACCAGTCAATTATCCCCAGAGGGAGGCATTGTGCAAGTGGAAAAGGAGAGGGGTGAAGATCAGGGTATCTGGACGATGTTGGCAACCAGGAAACCACGGTAGACTGGATGAACACTGGGCGGTACACGTACAAATGGAGAGGTGGAAGTAAAACAGAAAAATGAATGATACAGGTGAATACTAAAAGACATCGAAGGAGAGGACGATCCCAGATCCCAGAGGCGTGAAGAGAGGGATGATGTTAACGATAGCAGTGGAAACAATCAATACGGCGCAGTTCATGTACACACATGAAAGAGATGGAGTGTGAGAAGGAGTAGGGTAACCACAGTTGCCAATAAGCAATATCACAGTTGGTGGCGAATAGGTGGATAGGTGTGTGTGCAACAATAGCATTCAGATATGCTTAGAGTCACCTGAGGGCGTCTGGAATACAAGGCAATAGCATTCGATATGCTTAGAGTCACCTGAGGGCGTCTGGAATACAAGGCAACTAAGGCATGAGAACTCGAATCGATCTGTTCCATATGACAACAGTAAAATCGCATCACTACCACTGTTGATGACACTTCTACTCGGTGAGGATGAGTGGTGATCGATCGAATTTCCATCGCTGCCGAGCCGAATTTGAGCAGTACTCTATGGTCAAAGACTTGTTGTCCTCAGATAGGGTGACGCAACGTTCACCATGCTTTATCTCGTTATTCTGAACAAAGGGTGAAAGGAAGAAAGGCAACGACAACGGCTGAGTGGATAGTTTAGGTATAGACTTGCATGCAAACTGGATTCCTGGGTTGAGAGCAGAGCACAACCATACCACCGTCAACTGTTCACCGCTTGTAATATCACATACAACAATCAGCCGGTGAATATAAAAAAATCGTTCAGCTGTAGCACCCTTTCGGTGCCTAACTGCCATGCCACGTGAAGGAGGCATGAGGGCTGGGATACTGCCAGGTTGCCCAAGCCTAGATGGGGGAAGTCGAGAGGCAGAGGTCAGGCACGAACCACGGACCTTCTGGTCAGTAAATTCGCGCTCTAACCACTTGGTCCAGCCGGTGAATATCCAGGGGATCGGTGAGCCGCGCTATCGACTTCGTCAATGCAAGTTGAAATGCCCCTCCAGCGCGAAGCGAAAGAGAAAACTGCTAGAGGATTTTTACTTAAGTTTTGAAATCATCCAAAATACACCTTTCTGTGAGCTGCATCAAGCTGTGAAGTGCGTAGCAGGAGACCAAAAAACGCACAGGATCTAAATAACAGCAGATTCGGAAAAGTACACGAGGAAAACATGGCACATTGCTGTCCGCGGTTTATGAACTCAGATCACATGAGGACTGGAATGAAGTCGGAAAGCCAATCACGTGATTTATTAACTTTGACAACGACAACAAAATGGTTTCACCCGGCCACTACGAGTGGAAACTTTGGACGTCTCCTAAGAATTGGCTTACTTGAGAGGGTCACAAACTAGAACATGGTTGATAGGAAATGTCGTTGTACCCGTCTGGAGAAGGGTACCGAAGGGCCACCATCATAACACTCTCTGTAAACTAAGGCAGAACGACAGCGTTCTTTTATTTCCCGAAAACAACTCTGTTACCAATAGTCAATCAATAACAGCATTATTCCTCGCAGGGAAGCTTTCTGGAAGTCCCTGACACATTTTCGCGTGCTGAAAGTTTCTGAGGAACGTTTGGTGCCCACAGACGTGGTAATCAGAGGGGGTAACGAAAAGGACATCACTCTACACTCCGAAAGTTGAGGAGCACTGTGATTCGGATGCCTAGAACGACACCCTCTTTCACCTATGGCGAACAGGTAACAAGATCGCCGAATAGCCAGTTATGGATCGAAAGTTAAGTATCCAGAGAGCACGGGATCCAGTCGGGGAAGTGGTTCACGAGAAACGTACATTTAAGTGTTATGAAAATAAAACTGTGATCGCCAGTTGCTCAGTGCAAACCGACGATGCGAATCGGTACACGGAATCGCCGATAACTAGGCAACATGAACACGGTTGTTTCAAACTGCGCAATATACACAGGTACACGTCACAATCAATGTCGCAGAGTATCGATACATTTGATCCAGATGGGTAAAAAAACTATTTTTCAGGAACGCTGAAGATGCATGCATGGTATTTTGATAGTGGGTCGATTGTCAGAATCAAAACGACTTTGTACCATCCTCGCAATCACTTGGCAATCGAAATTCGTCCAAAGACAGACGCGTGTGTGAAAGCACCGGCCAAGGGAAATTGAGGCCTGTGCAGCACTGTATATTCGTAGCCATTTGAACGATAAATACCCTCGTCACAGCTTCACTAAGACCAGAATGAGAACATGGTAAATATATGAGAAGCAAGGTCCCGGGAGAGCAATTTGCATGGGGCGAAACAAGGCCACGGGTTCAAACTTCTGTGTGGTTGCCCGTTCGTTACACACAACTGGCTACTCAGTATATTATCGTGGGCGGTGTTTCCTCAACGGTAATATGGAGTTCATTCCAAAGAGTGGCGTTCATTGAGTTACCAGGATTCCCCCACGCTTTGTTGGGACGGCTAGTCACAACACCATTCGAACTGAGCTGAGCCAGCGAACGGTGCACACACAAACAGTCGCAACGAGCGTGCGCGGTGTGAAACGGTGCACAATGGCCATACCCATACAGATAAGCATACAAACATTAACGTCAAAGTGCAGTGGAACCAATCCTTGGACAGGTCAACTGACAATCAGCACAACAACGACAAGGATAACCACAACAAATCATGCTCGTTCTCTGCCACTGCTTTCGGAACGGAACGAGTGTGTGAATCATCACACATACGAGCACACATGGACACATTCGATCAGAACAGTACTGACGCCAGCATCAACAACGCGTCATCCCAAATGCCTCGGGTTTGTGCTAGAGAAGCGAAAGTAGTCGGGGCAACAAGAGCGTATACGCGTTCGAACGGTGTGCACCCACACACACAGGATTCTGCTGCCCGGTATCAGTCAATCAATCAATCAATGAGCCAGATGGGAAGCGAGAAAAGGGCAGCAAATGACTTACCGATGTGTACACAAAATGTTGATTCCCCCGTACACCATGGCAGTCAAGGAGGGCTATGCGCCCAACCTCAATACCAGCGTCCCAGCATTTGTTGTCCCGGCGAATCTCACCGAGCTTGGACATGAGCCAATACTGGATGGCGAGGTGAAGGGGAGAGAGGAAGGTGTCAGGTTAGCGAGTCATGCGTTGGAACATCTGTTGATATACCTGCAAATTGAAGTGGTTGTTCAAGCGGTGCGAGCCTAATGATATCTGTTGCAGACATCTCCCAGTCCCAACTCATTATTTGACTGCAGAAATTATCATGAGGAAGCTTAGTTCAGCTGTTCGTCTACCGACTGTCTTGCATTAACTCTATAAGGTGAGGAGCGAGACGTAGTACGACGCGTTACTCCATCCCATTAAAACTTTACCAATTACTGACTGGATTGAGCTTGAACAAGAGCAGAACGAGACGGCCTGATCCGGATGGCCTGGCAAACCGCACCCGACATGGTTGCACAGGTGAGTAGTGTCATCCTGGTGCCGCTCGCTAACTCAAGGATATAGCAGGGTGTAACAGCTCCTTTACAAATCCGTTTCGGAACTGACATCCACTCATCTTGTGACTCACACCGGATGAGGTCGCATCTAAAACATTCAACGTACGACGTAAAGTTGCAGCCGGATTATGAAAAGCTTGGTCACACGAGCACTTTCATCCATATTGTGGTTCACGAAGCTGTCAACCACAGAATCAAAGTCGGTGGATGCCGACCAGGTGACCGACTAAAACCATTGGTATAAAGGTCACAAGTCCGATCCCTATAAGCCCATATGACGAAGTCAAGGATATTCGACGTAGTTAGCGAATATACACTCATTTGCAAACTAATTTGTTTTTTCGAGAGACTCACCTGAAACGCAGCTGAATATCTCGTTTGTGATATTCTCAGGCAACTGAATGTGCTGTACCAGGCCGCCTCATGTTTCAGTCGCTACGATATTCGATATATCGCGAATACATGTATATTTTTGTAATATACTACTCATAAGGTTGCTGTCGACAGATTTTCAGCAACCTTAAGAGTAGTACATTACAAAGATATTCGACGTAGTTTATCACCGTCAATCCATATGATATCTGTCTATGGTCAAACATGAGTTGTGAAAATCAAATGAATTAGGCACGTTTTTAGCTAACTTATCGCATGTCTTGGTTGTTTACGTTAACTGCATCACTTATTCGATCCGTGACAAAATTGTACGAGAAATTACCCCTGCTGGTTGTCCGACCAATGGCCTGCAGATAGTGCCATCTAGCCTCACAATTTTTACTTCGGAGTAGATAATTGTTGAGTTTTCTCTTGATGTTGTCATTACTGAGTTCCCACTCAGGTATGCGACGATGTTTAACTGCAGTGGTCCAGTAGGATCGAACCCAGGTGTTGTTTCCGAGTTCACGCAGACTGGAACTCGGACAGAATAAGTATTACAAAACTTCAACGAGATTCGTTTGACTGGTTAGCCGAAAAATGATGAAAACAAACCGATATCCTCGTTTTAGCAGACAAAAGGTACTCATGTATGAGTCCGATGTCGCTAGGTGGCTTGAAAGTTGAGCGCAATCTAAATTCAATGTCGGGTTGCGAACCGCCATATCGATTGTATGAGTAAGGTTCTCATCCGGTAATGGAGATGAACAGAGCTGTCCAGAGATACAATAGACGACTGATACAGCCGAGGAGCGACTAAAAACGAATGCAGACTATGAACAACTGTAGGTCACGAATCACAGTCCCATGAAGTTTTGGTAAGCAGGCATCATCAAAGGGGTCGTACCATCAAATTCTTGTGGCTCAACTTCTGAGTTACAGAGCATCACCATCACCATCGGAGACAGCAACATTAGTGTTCATACTGATCCTTCAGTGCCGTAAAACCATCGGTTTTGTCTAATTATACTTAAAGCCTTAAAATAAGAAAACAGTGGATGAGGGAGGGGCCTGACGCTGGTCTATTGCAAACATTCTGGGGTGCACAGAACTCCAAGCGATCAATCAGACAATCTGACACCACGAACGCCACCGACATCGATCAGCGGCCAGTTCTTTTAATGTCTCCAGCCAAACGCAGACAGGGTCACGGGGACCCCATTCTGCCAGGTTGCCCAAGCCTAGACGGGGGAAGACGAGAGGCAGAGGTCGGACCTTCCGGTGAGTATATTCGCTCTCTAACCACTTTAGCCATCTCGCCCCCAATCATCTGGTTACTAATCGGTTGACGGCATTTGACAACAGCAACGCTTTTGTGGCAGCGGTCGTTAAAAGCCTGAAGACACCTCAAATCATCTGTCTGCATAGGCCAGGTTTCGCAACCATACTGTGGCCTGGTACACACGACCCTCGAGATCCAGTGATATGCCTTTTTGACGCCACAAATGACGGAACTTAGCGAAGTGAGTGAATCGGGCCCTTGAGATTCGCGCACTGACTTCATCAGGCACACTTCCAACTACCGAGGTATGTAACGTCTAGCATGCAGTCAGTCATCCGTCCTTAGATTTCACACACTAGAGAACAACTGTTCTGACCTACATCGACAACATTGGCTGAAATAACCTCACCTATCAATTCTTCATCTTTGTCAAACACACATCAAGATTGTGGATCATGATTACGCAAAGACGACTGGCACCTAAACACACTGAGTAGCAGTTCGCGCTGTAGGAACAAACGTTTCACTAAGAAAAATATTTCGAGAGGCTGATTTGGTAGCATGGATTGATGAAGAAAAACAGGAACCAATATGACATGAAGCAAAATGCGAAATCGGTTGACACAACAAGCTACAGAAAGTGACACTCATTTTTGCATAGCTCCCACGGAATGATGACATGTGAAGTGTGAATCAATTGAGTGACATGGGAGGATCTATGTGAACCCCAAGGCATACGTAAAAAAGGGGGTGCTGCATTCGGTCTTAGCCAGTCTCCGATTTCTATTGACACCGAACTCAAGCGTCGTGCCGGACTTGAGACCAAACCCTCAGTGGTTTGGTTTCCGGCCTCAACTTGTCGATTCCCGTTATCTAAGGAGCCTGGGCAACCAATGGGGACCTTGGTGCTTCCCAGTTGTAGCACCGCAGATACGACAGATCCGATCTTGGTTGTAGCACCGCAGATACGACAGATCCGAGCAAAATGACGGACCAGATGGAACATATGTCTCGGTAAAGGGTGACACCAACACCAACTAGTCAAGGGAGGGATACTGGCAGGATCATCACACTATACCTCATGAGGAAATCGGTCGTAGAATGAACGCTCTCCTGAAATGGCCGTGGTTAAGCTTAGATAAACTCAACAGCGATCGAAGCAATACAAAGTTGGTCTGTCAAGATGATATCGTCCACAGCCGATATGCCATGTCTGGAACTGTTGGGTAAAGTCGTTATTTTCAAGCGCTAGCAGCTAGGTCTACTCAACGCATAGCCGAAATTTAGTCACGCCGGTTGCTTAGCCTCATCACAGGAAAAACAATTTCGACTGACCAGGAGAGGCTCGAAAAGTAGCTTGAAAGCCAAAACCTCGGATAATGCGCACTAGTTTGCATTATTTGCGTTACCGACAGGACGAAAATAGTCTTCGCTTCAAAACAGGTGTCACTGGGGCAGCCAGAACACGGACACCTATGATAATTAACATTCAGAATTAGCAAATCTAGAATACACAAAAACCTAACTGTCTGTTGTGGATCTTCACACCCATCAGATAACCTAAACACGGAGGCAACTCACTTGATTTCCACCTTCTCTGTGACAAGGCCACATGCCAACAATTACTTTACCATCGCCCTTCAGAGGGGAATCGATGCAATGTGGGCCGGCCTCCCATCAGATTAAACACGGAGGCAACTCACTTGATTTCCACCTTCTCTGTGACAAGGCCACATGCCAACAATTACTTTACCATCGCCCTTCCTTCGGGAATCGATGCAATGTGGACCGGCCTCAGATTCGATCTGCGCAGGAGGTATGATAAATAAATAAATAAATAAATAAATAAATAAATAAATAAATAAATAAATAAATAAATAAATAAATAAATAAATAAATAAATAAATAAATAATAACCGTTCAGCTGTAGCACACTTTCGGTCCCCGACCGCTATACAACCCGATGGAAGCACGAGGGATGGGGTACCGCCAAGTTGCCCAAACCTAGACAGGGGAAGTCGAGAGGCCGATGTCGGGTTCGAACCGCGGACATTCCGCGCTCTAACTACGGACATCTCACCTCCGTCTCCTATATTAGTTACAATGTACCACTGAGGATTATCTTACAATCAAGGCGCCTTCAAATATCATCTGTCAGATACACTGTCACTCCATTCCACAATATGTTCCATGGTACAGTACAACTATACAACTATACTACATCTATAAGATATGCACAAGAGGCTAATACACCGCATCTGTTGCTAACTGTACGTCAAGATCTCACCTGGGGGCTAAGATAATATCATACACAGGATATTTTGAATGCCATTTTGAAAAAGTAAGACTAGGAGAAGCTGATACGGCGTTGTTTGGGCTNCTGTCAGTGACCCTGAACCATCATTCGGAGATGTAGCTTGCAAGTGAACCACGAATTGATTAGGTCCTGTGAATTTACAGCAGACTGATCATACCTAACCCATCTGAAGGACAACAAGTTTGCCTGGCAATGGAAGATCAAGGAAATAAACAAAGTTCTTATCTGCATTGATAGTTACCGTTTATGTCCAAAGGGAATCCAAGAGTGAAAGTCTAGATACGCTGGAATATTGATAGGTATTGTCTCAATGAGGCCTCAACGGTGTCCTGGCAACCAAGTCGCTACGTAGGCAAATCTTTCGTGATAAATGTGGTATCATGGGTGGGTATGCGGTAATACAATGCGGTAATACAAACGGATCGGGAAATGACTATTCGTGAATAAAAGAACTCACGTCACCATGAGCCACTGAATCAGTCGGAACGAAGAATTCCGGGTAAATATTCTTCAAGTACCAGTCGAAAGAATGGCACTTCAGACGATCAAGAATCGCTTTACGTTCGGAAACGTCACCGAAATCGATCTGCGAGGGAATTAGAGTGGAACATACATAAAACTGGAGATGAAAAGTTGACCCAGACGACGTTGGGGAGACAAGAATGGGCAAGATTAGCTTGCTCAATTCCTAGTTTCTACCACCTCTGCATGGTCACCTAATGTAATATGAGTTCTTTTTGTACTGGAATGAGACACTCTACCCACAAACAAGTTAAATACTAACAGCATTTTTTTTGTGATCACCGAATGAACAACCCGAGCTGCCAAGAGGGTCTAACAATAGGCTCAGATGTAGACACCTCTTGCATCGCAGGTGGTCCTGCCATTAACTGTGAAGTTGATCGAATGAACGTGGTCCACAGTGCACCACTGGCAGAAGTTGGTACCTAACTCAAGTGGCCGTGTAAGTTTCGCTTCAGCAAACATCCAATCCGGTTGAGGACGAATTTGGTGAAAATCCGCTTCAAACAACACACAGCTGAAACGGTACACCGGTTTCTCAGCACACAGCTCCACGACATGCGATGAGGGGTTAGCGACAGAAAACAGTCTGTAGCTTAAAAATCACACAGAATCTCTGGAAGAACTGGATAACTCAGCTGGTGGATGCCACGTGATTCAAAGCTGTTGTCCAGTAGGCGCATGCGGAGTTGAGTCGAAGGAATATTTCGAGAAAAAAGGGATGGTAGCGGTAGAACAAAGACGAATTCAAGCGTGCAGCTGGTTTTGATCAGACTTATCTAATGTGCCGTGTTTGCCACCGGTCTGAGTGTTTCCTTGTTCGATCGATACATGTGACCAATGGCACCAATGGCACACAGGTTTTTCAAGTTTACAAGCGGCAATGGTTCAAATCGGTGTGTTTTCACGCCTGCGGCACCACCCGAAGAAAATCTGTCAACACTATCCAGAAGAACCTGGATTGTGCGCATTTGCACAGCCTGTCGATTCATTGATTGGGAACTCGATCAGATTTTGCGGTGACCAATCATCACATTCTACCGCTCTTTAGTCATGGTATCAATAAGAGAACTCTTTGAAAACACGTTCGTGCACGTCAAACCTAACGTAAATGATTAGTAAGTGCGGAACGCTGTATGGTTTTATGCCGAGTTAGACAGAAGCGAGATAGCTTGAATTACCGCTTGATTCTAGATTGGTTCCTCCACCGGTGTTATCGCCCATCCGTCTGGGGCTCAGCTCATCGCTCATTATCCGAAGACAGATGATGTGTTCCAGTAAACGAATGCTAAGGCGCTTCGAGCAGAATCGCTTGAAACGAGCTGTTAGTACCTGTTTGGTGTTACGGGTGATTGAAAGAAGATGTCCTCACGGATCGAGGAGAGGCAGTTGAAAATCTGAGAGATGAGGAACTTCAGTGGCTGCGGACGCTGATGGACAGATGTGTATTGATCGATTGTCTGGCTGCCCAAAGAACACCCATGACCATTGCCTTTTTTCGCGCAGTTCTTTGCGTGAATTCTCAAGCGAACCTTAAGGGATCAATGAAAAGAAAGCCAAGCCAGTCCAGAAGATGGGTGCAATACATCCACGTGGCTGAGTCGACTGATTAGCGCAGGACCTCTCCCACAAAGCACGGATGTGTGATTGAACAAACAACCTTAGGTGCACACATCACCTCATTTCCCGAAGACCATTTTTCCAATATAATATATGCGTCAGATTCGTTTGCGAGGTCGAACAGGACTATCCCTAATTTGCATGCATTGTAATGTGCCAGTGCGGAACTGGGTTCAGTCGGAAACTAGCGAAGGAGAATGGTAACGATGACACGTGGAGGCTTAGCACAATGGTGGTGAAGTGGTGCTGAGTGATCTGTCACAATGAAGGTGCGTCGCTCCATCCAAAATGTCACAGCTGTTGTTGACGTTTCTTTGCTATACATCTGTGCTTCACGGGGGAAGGGCAGAGTCCCCAGAGGAAGGAAGATAAAACCACACAAGAAATAACACACAGCCCTAGGTGGATTAAGATGGATGTCAACTCGGCTTTTGAGAGGTAGAGAAGACAGAGGCGGACAAAGAGTTTCAGAGATGTGAGAAAAAAAGATTAGAACGGGGCAGCAGTAACTTGATAGGGGGTGAATGAGGATGACGCGGGCAAACAGACAGGAGTAGCAAACCCCGATAAGACTTCGGTAGAATAGAGCAAGAAACACCATGTTTCGATGGTGAGAAAGAGTATAGCAGTCGGCCAAGGGGTATCGATGAGGTGTGCAATCAAGTCAAGGGAGGATAACTAAGGAGCCCTACCTTAAGCATAATAGCAGGGAAAGGAATGGGGTAGATGCTCAGCTCGCGGGTGCCTTGACCGGTAAACCTCAGTTGGTGGTCTGGACAATAAAGAATCGGGTCTGGAGGTCGCACAGTCGGAGTGAAGCGGAGCGTTGGGAGGAGTAGGACAAAGAGACGTGCAGAGTAACATCGTGATGGTAACCGTAGGGAGAAGATCATTCACATAAAGGAAGAACAGTGTGGGGGAGATAGACATTTGGGGAACTCCATCGCTGAGTCTGAAAGAAAACACTACCCATCCTTACTTGCATGGAACAGCTATGCGCGAGGCTTCCAATCCAAATGACCAGGTCTGGATGTAGCCCATACAAGAAAAGCTCAGAAAAGTAGGTCCGTAAATCGACATGCCATCTCTGAAGGGCGCCTAGACCCAGAGCGATGGCCACTTAAATCAGTAACATCTGAAGATTGTGGAGTTGTGTGGTGAAACTGCTTGAAGACCCTTTGACAGCTTGGGATAGTGTCAGGACGCACCCAGACATGGAAAAAGTACATGTGCGGAGAATGACGCATCCCCAAGGTCAC